TGAGATTTTATTTTTGATTCAGTGGTTAAACTTGAGAATCGGTAATGCCTTAAAATATTATCACTGTAGTAGATCCAACCTTGACGCTGTATGGAAAACTACCCTTTCTAGAAGGCCAAAAAATTTAACAAATCCTTATGGTTTTGGAAGTGAAGGTGTTAAAGCTACACTAAAGGCCATCTTTCATTACTCCTCTGATAGACTAGCAAACCAGTGTACAGAGCTAGAAACTGCTCAGCTGTGCCAAGATGTATTCCAAATTTCATGAATTTCAAGATTTTTACATGCTCTGTTATAATACATTTTTTATAACATTCATTTTCTACCAATGCATTCACCAAATGGCACACTTACTCCACTTAATGCATTTAGATGAACAGGCATTTTTACTTCCCAATAAAGAAAATATTTCACATTCCCAATTTAACTCATGTGTATAACTTGCTCAAAAATACCTTTGCTAAAGTCCCTTCCATCTCTGAGCACCCAAGGAAGGAAGGTAGTATGAAACCGGAATAATTTTCTTCTCAATAAAAAGGACTTCCTTAACGTACAGCCAAAAGCTCGTTGATAAAATTGTCAACATATTCGTGGTCTAATCAGAATGACATGGTTTTCAAAGAAGAATCTTTCATAAGTATTTCCCATTCATAACAATAGAATGCAGCAGTGTATGAAAGTAAATACGCTGTGTGGAAATTTATATAGACGTCAATCAGTGTTTTATGTTCTCTGGTCAAGTTCAGTTGTACTTTTGAAATCCTCTAAAAGCTGCTGTAATACTTCTCTTTCAGAAAAAAAACCCAATTGTCCTGCTGGCAGGATTAAGCCCATGATGGCTTTTCTCCTTAATTTTTTTCATTTTGATGTGCCATGTCACTATAGGTTCATATATGTAAGATTTCTAAAACCCAGCAATGCCAAAACTCCTCCTCTTCTTTTAGCCAGATGTTTCATTTTAGAAACATCTTTTTCAATGAAAGTAAAGTAGATTCAAACTTTTGAAAAGTGGATTACCATAAAATAAATATCCCAGAATAGTTGCAATTGAAATTTAAGTTCTTCTGACTGAAACAAAAAATGACACCAAAGGGGCTTTTAAATGATGATTTGCGTGCTAATTGGCTAAAATTCTTTTTTTCATATGCTAACGTTTGTTCAGCTGTGTTTGTAATATATCCCCCAAAATTTAAGATGCATTACTTAAGTTATATTTCTATGCTCCTTGTGGTTTTATGAGAACTTCTCTTGAAAGAAGGGCTTTTGTTTGGGGAACTTTCTATGCTTATTATTCACAGGAAGGATGGTGATGTTTTTCTCAATGTTAAGTCTCAAGAAAAATATCATAGAACTCACAATCTTAAAGTTTGCCTACTGGTTTGATACAGTAACTGTTTTCCATGTGAGGTTTTTATTTTGTATGTCTTCTGCAGCTGGGATAATTACTGAATTGTGAAAAACTCTGCGTATATATACCAGTGTACTGTACTCCAGATAAACATGAGTAACACAGTTGATCAGATCTTCCAAATTAAATACAGAAATACCATTCTTTTATTTGTGCATTCCTAATCTATATACAGTGGGAGTTAATGCATTCTGACATTTCCATACATGTGGCTGCATGTTTCACAAATAATCTGACCTGTATGTGGCTATCTTGAAGCTTTTGGTATATAGGTCATTTAACATTTCCTTAATGAATAGTTAAGTAAAGTGACTGTTTTCTTAAGGTCATCTCAATAAGAACATAAGAAACACCTTACTGGATCAGAGGAGCTCTGTGGCTCCAACCGTTGCAACAGGAGATGTTCTACAGAGAGTGCACCTGAGCCTAGCCACTTGCTGTGGTCCATTCTCTTTAGACTTCCCAGCACCTGCAGTTGTTAGACAGGGATATCAGGGTGCACAGTCCACCAATAACCATTGTATGTTATCCACTTATGGATCTATTGTCCATGAATTTATGTAATACCTTTCTGAATCTGGTACACTCTGTCCTTGCCACATCCTGTGGCAGCAAGGTCAGAAACCATTCTGTCCCTGTGTAAAGAAGTACTTTGTCTGTTTTGTATTATGTGTTCATTCAGTGCCACCTAATACTTTGAAAATTGCAGGAATTTTTGTGAATAAAATTTCTACATTCATTTTTCACACTTCCTTCATAATTTTGGAAATCCTGATTGTATTGCCCCTTGATTTTCTCCCCAGATTGATAAATCTTAGACTTTTTGGTCTCTCCTTGTAAGTCACCTGCTGCAAACTATTGATCACTTTAGCCGCTCTCTCCATATATTCTAAAATTCTACCATTTCTGTTTCAAGATGCCAAGAACCAGAACCTTTATAATTTCTGATGCTGAGTTAATATCTGACATTGCTTATTTCCCTAAAGCTGTATTTAATTTTCTGTTTGGCTTAATATTATTTTACCTTTCATGCTTAAAGGTAAAGGTAAATTCACTGAATTTCAATTCTCTAGAAAATGGACATTGCAGTAGAAGGGTTAAAAGTAAGTAGCATAGCTGTTAACAAACTAAACCCAGAGAGCTAAATATACAGTTGTTTAGGTTTCCCAGAAGGAATCAAGTTTGACTGGATGTGGAACTGAACTATGTGAACCTGACAAAATAGGTGAATGGAATCTATACATGTGAAAATAGAGCGAGAGTTTGATAAAGCTGGCTATAACATTAAAACTTATTTTTTAAATGAATGTAAGTTCTTAATGGCAAATCTGTATCTTAATGACAAAGCTGTAGCCATCTGTATGAAACATGGAACTAACTAGATTATTTTGAATGGCTTGATAAAGCAGTTGCAGAATAGCTCATAAAAAAACTTTTCTAGTGCTGTAGCCTTATTACATTAAAAGGCCATTAAAAATGTAGCAGGTTTGAATGTGACCTCATTATTAATTGTGGCTTCTTTGTTGATGGTTTAGAACAAAGCGTGGCTGAAGTGCTGTTAGGGATGATGCACCCCACAGTTTATGGGGTGAAGGATGTGGAGTAATCAGCCTGCCCTTGTACTGACTTCCTGTGCAATTTTACAAAAGTGAAACCAATCCAATCTTCTCCTCTTGATTGGGACTGAAGGCTGCGATTATGAATTTCCTGAATGAAAATTTCTGTCTGAGCTAAGAAGCTGACTCTGCTCTTAACTTCAATGAAACTATTTTAATCCAAAAGCTCTAAATCTAACCCATAGTGTTCTGGAAGAGTTAGCTTACTAAGCCCAGAAGACACCCTTACTTGAGTCTTTACTTACTTTTTAAAAAATTTCTTCCATCTCATTTTTCGTCTTGTCAAATATTGTTACTAAACTACTCTTCCTTTCCTAAGCTTCACCTTTTCTTTCTCTTCCACTCTCTCCCTCTCTATCTCATCAGAACCAAATTCCTGATGTCTACAGATTATAATGGTTTATATTTTTCCTCTCTCCCTTATTTTCTTATGTTTACTTGCTTCCTTCTTTCACCGGGTTTTCCTCCTGACACACATGGTGTTCTCTCTTATTTCAGAATGGTCTTACAAAACAGTTTAAGGAAACACAGTTTTATCTTCAGTTTGGCAGCTGCTGGTGTACTTCATGTGCTTAAGGACAGGCAGGTACGAAAATAAGTTACTATGAGGTACAAATGAAAGGGAAACCACAGTTCGTAAGGTATGCTTTGTTAACTGCCTATGTCACTTCTCTGGTTCTACCATAAGAGAAACTTGATGATGCAGTGGCAGGGAAAGGAGAGAAGGCCAAGTTAACACATACTTATGACAGTTAGTGGTGTATAGTATACACAGAAGTAGTTACCATGGAATGACAGATGTTTGAGATATATATCGCTACAGGTATAACCCAGTTTTCAGGTAACCTCCTGGTAGTCTGTGAGAAAGAAAAATAACTTTCTTTTTGACTGACGTAATCCACGTCTGGGTGCCAAACTGATTGCCGCAATGTAGAGAGTGCCCTCATCGGGCAAGTGCTGAAGCATCTGCCCGTGACTAGCACAGGACCATTATCCTGGAAGGAACTTGGAGGCTGGGAGGAAGCAGAGACATTGTGGCTGTTAACAGGGGCCATGAACAAAGCAAGCTTACTGTTCTACTAGAAGGGAGAAAGAAACCTAGCTGTGATTTTGCGTTTTGCTTAAAAAAAAAACCAAACAGAAAAAGTTATCTTGGGCATACATAGGAAGTAATAGAGGCAGAATGGAAAAGTCTACCAATAGTTTTACTTGTTTCCTTTCAGGGTTTTAATGATAGTGCGATGTTTGATCTACAGCTGTGGCTTGCACCGATGAAGCCGTGCAGGAAGCTTCACTGCCCTTTATGCTTCACTGTCTCCTTTATGTTTCAGTATCATCGCCTCTGCTGATGTATGCTTCATTCCTTCTTTCTCCCATGATTTGTTTATCTTCTAAGCCCAGTGTAAATTGACTGTGTGTTTCTAACCAAGGCTGGAAAGTGGAGAAGAAGCAAGCATATTCTGCCTCAATAGAGAAAGAATGATGGGAAATAAACAAGGAAAATAAATGACAAATCAGGAACAAATATGTAGTTTCTCTTTTCTCCCTGTTTTCCTGTTAATTCCTTGGAGTGTAGGAATAATTAATTTCCATCACAATTAAATGCTGCTAGCCCTTTAAAGTCAAAACCACATATCCCATGGTTCCTCAGAGCATTTCCCAGGAGTACAAAGAAAGAGCTCAGAGGTTTGGAGAAGGCCATGTCTCTAGGGGAATATTTAGCAGTGGTAGGACTGTTTTCAGTCTTGCATCTTTGTTCTGCAATACATATAAGAGAATGCCCTTCACTGAAGTTGGTAAAATTGAGGTGAGCTGAGTTAATCCTTAAAAAAATTCTGCTACCTTTCCACCTTTCTTACTCCATAGCAATGTATGTGTTTCACTCCAAGTTATTGTTAGTCTTTTCAGCAATCCTGTCATACAATGTGAGGCTGGAGGGACAACTCCTGATACTAATTTCTGATTCTGTGTTCTAGGTACTGAAATACAGGACTGCTCGTAAATCTACTGGTTGAAAACCTTGATGGTGGGTGAGTGCATAAAAACATATTTCTGCAATGCTTTGTTTGGGGATAAGAGTAGTGCTGTGCATCACATGCTCGTAACTTCTCTCTGATTTGCTCATGTGGGTTATGTGATCTGATACAGAGTTATAATTTGCATAAGTACATAGATTATTAATGGTAGTACACTTACCTAGTTCTGTTTCTGTTACTGCCAAAACATTATTTATTTCAGTAACTCTTTGTGGCAGTGGGTTTCACAGGTTATATGAAGAAACATTTCCTTTTCTTAGTTGTAAACTTAACTAAACTAAACTGGGCTCTAAATGTGTGTATATAACTCTTGACCTTGCATTCTGAGAAGTGGAGCAGGTCCTCTTTTTTCTTCAGAAGATCTTCACTTGATTAAAAAGTTTTCATTGCCTAAGTTCTGCTAGTCACATCACATGTAGTAAAAATAAACACACCAATTGATGAATGGAGGACAAGTTACAAGGCTAGGAAAGGGGGGATAGTCACCTACATCTGCACAGGAAAATTAAGATTTATTCTTGCTTTGTTTCTGTATGGAGTATGTTTCTTGCAGCCAAGCTGAACTTCTGCATTTAAACACATAAGTTATGTATATGCTTAATTTTAAATACAAGGATAATCCCATCACTTACATTGAATTCATTTGTAAGAATTTGCTGAGTCAAAGGTTTAATCACACACATTTTTTTAAATCCTGCAACACTTTAAACAATGATCCAGGCATAGGATCTCTGCATTGACCTCCTAGTGTAACAGGAGCCTCATTTGAGAATATTATTTTACTTAACAGATTTTAAAATTAATTAAATTAAAAATAACTATGAAATGCTTTTGTCAACAAATGTCTAAGTACATTTCAAATTAGGGTGAGCATCACTTACACCTGAGGAAATTGAAACATGTAGAATTTAAGTGTTTACAAGAGTATTAGAACCAGGGAAACTTACAAAAGTCTTGTTAGTTCATCCTCTGAATCCAGGCCCAGAGCCTTAGGCACAGGCCCAGACTGCTTCAAAATTCTGGCTAAATATACTTTCATATATTATCGTAAGTCTCACTCCTCAAAAAATTAGATACAAAAATTAGAGGCCCAGTGGCATATGTCTTGAAGATTATGAAAGTTTTGTTCTTGAGTTTGCTGGGGGTGAGAGTGAGTCTTCAGTTCCTGAAAGGTATTGTGTTTTATTGTGTTTTCCTTGTTTCAGGTGTGTTCTATTTTCCAAGTTTTTTTTCTATGGACCTATAAAAAAGTAATTCCACTATTTAGCAGTTTGATCAGGGGAAGGTTAACCTTGAGGGTTAAATTTATTCAGTACTGCCTATTTTTAGTCAAAGTCATTGTGTGATTATCTGGAAGCATTGATAATTCTTCATTTATGGCTAGTTTACATGTTTGAGGGAAAAAAACAGACTAGCACTCTAAAAAAAAATTTAGTTTTTTTAAACAACATGGCTACTCTAACAAAAACAGGCTATTTATGGAACCAAAATATTCAAACGTTTGTTGGACCTGCATGTATTAGAGTTCAGTTAAAAGGATTTGAAGGTCAGGCTTGTATTCCACTTGAGAGATAGTAGTGACAGAAAATGATTGCACTTCATTTAGGTATTTCTTCAAGTTACCCAAAGGCATAATATTTGCAACCTCTACTTAAATACCCGATGAAATTAATTTAATTGTAAGGAAGCTATTTCATATTGTTATGGCACTGTATGTCTTCACATTTGACAACTACCAGCATTTAACCTTTTCATTGAAAATTACTTTGGGGATCCTGCCAGAAACTTCAAATTGCAAACACTAACCCCCATTACTGAGCCACGTAATACAATAGGCACAAAGTCAGATGTCCTTGATGGGCACACTCTGGGGCTGTGTGGGTGGGAAGTTCTGTGTCCTTCCAGAATGAACTTCCTTTGGCTACAAAGGCTGGTTATAGTTTAAGGATCTTTTAATTATTTCTATATACAGATACTTGTCGGAAGATAAAGTGATTATTCCCCCTTAAAGAAGTGTTTTATCTTGTTATTGTTTAAGGGAGGGGCAGTGATTGAAGGGGAAGGAAGGTTTTATTATTTTTTAATGTCTGGATTTTTTGAATTTATTGATTTTTATACAGGGTGGGGGTGTGCAGGGAGGGAACAGACACAGAGAGAAGTATTCCTTTACATTTTCTAAAAGAATTGGAGTTGAAAGCTACAATAAGGTGTGGGATTAGTGAAGATCTCCAATAGTAATGGCTGTGCATAGCTCAGGTAATGCAGCCACAGCAGTTCCTAAGAGAGGATGAATGCAGCTCCAGACCAGCCATGAGAACCATGTAAGGGTTTCATTTAGCTCTGTGAAAGATTCTTAGTTAAAAGCTGCTGTTACTATTTTGTCTGTAACTGTTTTCAGAAGTACTTTCTGAACGTGGACTTAAAATGATGATAGTCCTTGACAGTTCCAATGTTGTTATCCAGAGTTGGGTACCCAGAAGCTGAGACAAACAATGTGTTTTCAGACTCTGAGAGTGTTTTGGCTGTTCTGAACACTGCAGGTGTAGGAAAGTGGAAGTTAAGAGTCCACAAAGCAGGAATTTTTATTCTGCTAATGTAATTTTTGGAGAAGTACGAGGATTACCCACTGCCAGTTAAAGGCTTTTCAGTGTTCCAGGCAAAACTAGATTTAACTGCCTTGAGTAGGAGGACAGGACCTGGGCTGTATCTGAGCTAGGAATGGGAAGTTAAGGGAATCTGGGGAACAAGAGACCTGCTGACAAGGATTTGCTGTTCTCTGGTGCTTTGAAGATGTTGACTGCTGTTGCTTCTTTGAAGCTTTTAACTGCCTTTGGTGGAAGTGAAAGGAGAAGGAACAATACTGACTGCATAAGAGTTTGCTGTAACAAAACAGTTCTCAGAGTTATAGCTGTTTTGCCTTCATTGCACTTAGTTGAAATGAGTGAGTGGGTTCAAAATTTAATGGCAGAAGGAAAGAAGAGAGCATGTGATTGTGTAAGCTTTCTCCCCCTAGGAGACCAGCCTGACTGAAGAAAAGATAGTTTTAACTCAGTGTGTTTAAAATTCAAATTGTGCAGCTCAAAAACCTGTGTTGTTCTGAGCTCTTTTGGATAGAGGTCAATTTTACAAGACAGCATGCATGAGTGCTGAAAAAACTCTTGCGTAAAAATATGAGCCATAGTTTGGTCAAAGTAGAGTGTATATAAAATGATCTCATGCAAATTCTCTTGAAAAGGCATGCAATAGTATTTACCCTTTCCAGAAGAGAGACTCAAGTGAAGCAAGGAATTGTAACTACATTGTTTGTGGCCTGGTAGGGAAGAACGATGCATAGCGTCAAGTGACTTACATTGCTAACTCCTCTTTGTATGGTTAAGTTTCATGGAGTCCCGTAGCTGCTGGGTAGTTATATATAAAGGCTGGAATTTTGGTTTCTAAATACATTCAAATGCAGCATAGTATTTAACTGGAAATACAAAACATTTTAAAAAATAATCTTGTCAAGTAAGGAAGATTTCAGTCTGTCAATTAACTGAACGTGTGTAAATACCCTGAGGATGGGAAGTAATAGGGAATATTGTGTAAAAGTAGGGTTAAGCTGTGATTATGTGAATAGGAAGGAATACACAAAACTTGGCTCTGTGAGCATGTACTGCGGAAATACCTGTGCCAAACTAAAGGAACATGGAGCCTCTGGAATTAGACCTGGAAAGAAACTGTAGTTAGTTACTATTACTTGCATAGGCCTGGTTTGTGCATGTCATATTCAGATAAATTTTCTGAATGGATCTACTTATATAAACATTTTGTCATGCAAGTAACTTTCATGAGTGCTGCGTCCTCAGATCGTTCATGTGAGGTAGGAGAATTGGGCTACAAGCTAATGCTGGTCACTCGCTTTCCAAATCTGGGTGTTTTAGTCTTGTGGCTTAAATGGAAATGGAATGCTTCCCACCACCCTAGCTTTACTAACAATTTCAGTTTTGTGAAAGGTCAGCACATGAATGTGTCTTGTGACATTACACATTGCCTTTGCTCAAAAATTCACATGCACAGGGAAACTGACAAAACAGTTTATTTTGGAAAATTAGTAAATCCAAATGATGGATACCATGTGTCAAAATAATCCTTGGTGCACGTGCTTGCATTTTCACATGGACGTTTTTGAAAATTATACTGTGGAAACTGAATAGAGATTCAGTTTGCCAGGGAGCAAGCTTAAGCCACTTCTCTGTGCAGACTGCAATATGTGGTCTTTTTTACTGAACATGGAACAAAAGCAGTTCCATCTTTACATTAGCCCTTTGCTATTGTGCTCCAGAGTTGTCAAATAAGATCTAAAAGACCAGTTAGTGGAGTTAGGAAGAGGATTAAGGCTGGAATTTCAGAACTAAAGGTGTGAAAATAGCTGAATGGACTTTAGGATTCATTTCTCATTCCTTGAGGACTCCAAATACTTGGTGCTTAGTTGAATCTGGTTGAATTCTAGACCCATTGGTGAGAAACAGGCGTCTCTGGGAGGCGTTTATTTGATGTTCATCCTATATATTCTAAAAGAGAAGAGGTGATGTAGGATGTTACAGAAAAATTTCTTGGCCTCTAAATGTTGACTAATATAGCACTGTTTAAACAAGTGAATGGTTTTTCTCTTTTCTGCTTGCTTTAAAATCCTAGGTAAATCTCATGTGAAATAGTTATTCACTTTCACCTTGATCAAATGTGGTTGAGAATGATTGTTGAGATACTGAGGTTGTGCTGCTGTGTATGATTATATTTCATTGATGCTTTAAGGACAGGCTTGCATATTTTTATTTTACTTCAATAACCCAAATACAAAAATGCCTGCAAGCTCTTTGCTCAACCAGTGCAGGGTGACACATAGCAAATCTTGAACTGGAAGAATAATGCAGACTTCCTGAGTTCCAGGAAATTGAAGTAACCAACAAGGTCACTACCTGTGAACAGAAGGATATGG